CCCGTCCTCTTCAAATCTCTTAATCCAATCTTTTTGTAGACAAATAATTCAAGAACATTGAACTCTATATTGGCTCATGAAAAAACCTGAGAATGGTTTTAAGTCCCAAATGACTTACATAAAGTCCCAAATGGATTCATGAGAACCCTCAAAGACAAGGAAAATGAAGGTCAAAGCCTAGAATCTCTCTGTAGGATGAATTTAACCTCTAATTGCACACTACCTCAGAGACCATTGTCTTGTCCGAAAAGAAGGAGCTCCCTGGCCAAACTAAATGTTTCATTAGATCCTAAAGTAAGTGTCTTTTCCAATGAAGAAGACACTGTGTAGGTGGCTCCCTCATTACAGAACACTGGCCACAACTCATGCAGTCAGAATGCCTCTTCTAGAATGCACTGGAACCCTGCTGTCCAACCTAGAATAAAGGGGGGTTATAAATGAGAGAGAAAAGAAACCAAAGCAAACCAAAACAAATGAGTACTCTAAACCAACAAAACAAATGCACAGAGATTTTTTTTTTCTACTTCTAAATCTCTTTACACACCAGTTAGTGTCCCCAAAATGACCGGCAGTAGATCCAACTGGCTACAGATAGACAGGCCCTTTCTTCACTCAAATGGCACTGCTGACCAACCCCAAAGAAGGTCTAAATCAGTGACGTTGAAACTTTTAGAGCTTTCAGTGATGACAAAGAGCTGGCAGTGGCACGTGTGCCATAGGTTCACCACTACTGTCTAAATGGTAGAGACAGTAAATCCCTGGAGTGCGCTTTCCATTGGGAAGGCAGATGGAGCCTGTCAGGGCCCCAAACAACTTCTTTTATCAACAAAGGTGTTCACAGGCAGCTGGTGCCATGAACAGAAAAGAAAGGAGATTCTCAGGTGCCGAAGTGTCCCCAACAACTGCTGGAATGTCCCTTGAGTCCTGACCATGGGTTCAGCTGAAACCACAAGCAGTCCTTTCTCCAAGCGGCTGCTGTGATGTATCCCTCTTAGGGTCTGGGACTCACCTCCTGCCTAGCTCACCAAAACTGTTACTGACGAATTAGGTTCTGACGCTTAATTTGCTAGCTGCTGGCCAAATCAAGGGAAGCTATGTCTTGGGTGTTTTTGGTTGTTTGTTTGTTTTTGGTACCAGGGATCAAACTCGGGTCCTTGTGCTTGTGAGGCAGGCAGCAGAACCACAGCTCTAAATCCCCCGTCTTTTTTTTTTTTTTTTTTTGAGACAGGGTCTCACTATGTAGTTGAGACTGACCTGGAACTCACTAGGTAGCCCAGGCTGGTCTCGAACTCACAGCGATCCTCCTGCCTCAGCCTCCCAAGTGCTGGGATTACAGGCATGTGCCATCAAGCCTGGCTGGAAACTGTGCCTTTTGGTAAAAGAATTTATTCAAAGCTAGCTTTGAGGAGGAGGAGCCCTATTTGCCTCAAATTGTCTCCCCTTCACCTCTCCACAGTTTCAGGCCGAAAGGTGAAAGGTGTGTAAGGATCCTTTAGCTTAAGGAACAGAGGGGGGGGGAGCACAATGAAATCTTCACACTTGCTGTATCTTTCCAATCATCTGCAGTTCGTCTTACTTTTTCTCGTGGAAAGGAAACTGTTATCAGACCTCCCAGGTTATCAGCTGCATATTCTGTCACTTCTAGACAGAGGAGAGGAGGGGTTGTCGGCTTGGGCTCAGCAGAAGGAAGTTTGGAGATGCTGCTTATTTTTAAAAGGAAAAAAAAATACTACTTTCTAAAGTTCCATTGCGCAGAGCCAGCGACAGAATGAGCAAGGAGGAACGAGGGAAGGAGGGAAGGATTCAGTAACTGAGGGAATGAGTGAGAGAATGGCTCAGGGCAGGAACGGGGCAGTGAGGCTAAGAGAACGAGAGGACGGAGGGCAGGAGAGAGGAAAGAAGGGAGAAAATGCTTTTACATCCTGCGACCCTCGCCAGATAGGCGTCGTCCACTCATTCATCCGTTCAACCCTGCCAGGGGCCAGGAGCAGAGCAAGGTGGGACGCGGCCTTGGCAGCGGTCGCCCCTCTGCAGCCCGTCGGGGCAGACCGGAGACCCCGGCTAGC